TAAAATAAAATTCACGTTAATCTAAATGTAGTTTACGATAAACTGATAAAGGCGTTTTCACCAACTGGTTTTCACATTGTGGCAAAAGAAAAAATGTCAAAGAAAATATATGTAATATAAGATAATTATGATAGCTAGTAGAGATGAATGTAATAAAAAGAAGAAATTTTGTTCATATATTGATTCATACGGAAGTTTGCTGCGAACTAAAAAAGTTGCACTTACCAAAATTATAGAAAAATATGTATGAGTTGGGCAAAATAAAGATTTAACAACTTTCGACTGATAATACTGATAATATCTAATCTCAGTACGACTTGGAATATAAATTTATCAATTTGAAAAATATTCCACATCTCCTTGATATATAAATTGCTCTTTGTTTTAATAATTGATATCATTTGTATAATAAGTATTTGATTCTTGTATATGCGAGCATTCCAAAAATTATGTTCCCGGATTAGAATTTTATCTTCATTGGATATTATCAGATTGGTCTGTCTTTTTATGCCAAAAAAATTGCTTTCCACAAAAAGTATTTTTACTATAATCATAAATATATTAAGTGCTTAAATTAATTCTCGCTGTTCTTGTTACAAAAACTCATGTTTTTTTAAAAAGAACGGTACATTATATCTTATTCAAAATACTGTTCCTAGGAAGCTCCAACTTTTTCCCACCATTCTTTTTTCGAGTAACACAGGACTACGCAGTAGAAAAATTCAGGTTCATTCGAAGTGAACCAGTCATCGAGCCATTTTTTGATATCTTCGAAAGAACTGATGTGCTGAGCAGAAAGGCCATGCTGCATTGACTAAAATAAATTGGAATCTGAAGGAACAACGTCTGTTGAATAGGGCGGGTGGAGTAAGACAATCCATCCAAGTGTCTTTAAGATTTCTTTCCCTGCTGTTGCAATATGTGGTCTAGCATTGTCATGGAAAAATATAATTTTGTCGTGTCTTTTGGCATATTGCAGGCGTTTGCCTTGAATGCTCGATTCGAATTGAGTAATTGTGGTCGGTAGCGTTCAGCATTGATGATTTGACTCGTTTGCAGCAGCTCATAACACACCACTGACTTAATCTCATCAAATACACAGCATGACCATCTTTCCATGAATATCTTATGTTATATGTTTTGGCATTGATGTTGATGGTTTGCCGGAACACACCCATGATTTCTTGCGCTTAGAATTGTCGTAACGAATCCATTTTTCATCGCCAGTCACAATTTGATGCAAAAACGACTTTCATTTTTGTCTTTGAAGCAATAATTCACAAATGGTTAAACGTTCTCCTTCTCTTAATTTATGGGACCAAATTTCTTAACTTCTGGATCATTTCCATTGCTTTTAAACGTTTACCAACGATACTCATCAACATTTAGTGTTTCCGACGTCTCTTTGAACGCTGGATATGAATCTTCTGTCAGCAATACCTCCAATTTTCCATCTTCAGTCTTTTATGGATGACCTGAGCGTTCTTTGTCATTCACGTTAAAATTGTTGTCTTTGAATCGTTTAAACCAATCTCTACAAGTTATTTCAGATAGAGCGTGCTCCCCATAAGCTCCGCTAGCAAACGATGACTTCCAGCACCAGATTTCTTGAGCTGAAAACAGACAAGTAATACTTCCCGCAAATGCTCTTTTTTTGGTATGAAACCCGGCATCTTCAATGCAATAAAAAATAGTGTTCTTTGCACTATGATCGAATTTCACACACTGATTATTAGAGCCTATTGACACTACTTTTATATACATCAACTGTCACTTTCGGCCATGGTGAAATAGTATAATTACTGACCTCTATTAGTCAACAGCGAGAATTAATTCATATATAACTTAATATATAATATCTTCTATATATCGTGATGAAAGTTTACAAATATCAAATATGTATATATCAAATATACAAATATACAAATATCGAACATTGATTTCTATAAGATTTCCGATCGGATTTTTCATTGACATGTGAAACCGAGTAGCTTTTAAAGATCTGCAACAATTTAATATTAGTCGATAACTTCACTCAAAATAAAGAAATAAAGTAATGAAAAGTTTTTTGAAACTCAGAATTTGCTATGTAGCGAAGATGGGCCCAGTTCAAGATGTATTTACGCACAATTTTACAATTCGAAAAGATTAGCGTTCAACAGTGAACGATTTGATTTAAAATAATTTTAATTTACATGATTTTAATTCTATTTCTTTTTAAAAATTTTATGCTGTTCATTTTGTACCTTAATAGCGCTTTATATTTTTATGTTTTTCCATCGCTCCTTCCGTTTATCGTTCGCGATAGAACTTCGTGTCACTTGATAATAACTGCAAGAAACACTACTCTCCGTTGCACGTATCACGAAAAGTCATTGAACTCACAAATAGATCAAACTGCAAGAAATGCTATTGTTGCACGAAGAAAGAGTTAATTATGTACTGTGTCGTTACGAGGAGTGAGAGAGAGAGAGAGAGAGAGAGAGAGAGAGAGAATAAGAAAGAGAAGCACGACAGTAAGAGTTACAGATCGCAGGCAAATAATTGCACACTTATGTTACAATGGCATAATTACGAGCGCGCTGTAACACAAGGAATCAGTAATAACGTGCTTCTCTGTTCGTACTTTACCACAAAGCGCAAGCGAGCTTCTTGTCGATGAGAAATTGCCAATAGTCCGTGATAGTAGCATTCTCGAAAATGACCAAGCGGAAAGCCATTTGGCAAAATAAATATTACACGATCCCCAAGTTCTACATGACATTAGTAGGATTATGGCCGTATCACACGTTCCGCGACAGATGTCTGCATTTCGTACCGGTTTTCACAATCTGTTCGATAATCCTTATACCTCAGGTATATGTGTGTACGTCGAGCTTATTCAAAATAGCATTATTTTCTCATAGAAATCTCACTCTCATGGGAAGAATGTATCCTTTTGTTTCAAACATATTATTCTACTTGCAATATTGTAAAATTTAAGATGTTCGTACTCTAACCTATTTTTTCCACGCAAAAGTATAGATTTCCATTCTTTCGTATCATAAATATTATAAAATTCACAGCTCCTAGTTATCAAGAATATACTAATTTTTATTATCAGCGATATTCTGCAATATTGGTTTTAATGCAGTTGATGTACGTGCTAATCGCTTTGGTGGACCTTGACGATCTGTTCGAATGTATACCGACAATACTGATTACAATAATATTCAGTTTTAAATTAGCGAGCTTGATGGCAAATAATGACAAAGTATGTAACAATTATGCAAAATTATATTGTTCTACGATTAGTGTCATTTGATGAAGCTCTTTCGATATCCAGTATAAATATAATCGACACTGTGACAAAGTACATGTGAATACGTTTGTAAATTAACGCATAAATTTGCAGATAAAGACCTGCCTGAAAACAATCGAAAACGATTGGTTGTCACTAAATGCGGACAACGAAAAAGCTATTCTGCAACGACAAACTGTATACGGACAATATTTGACGATATTTTATGCAGGTATGTCGCAGAAGAGACATAAAATCAAGAAAGGAGTTTCACGAGAGCTCAAACGAATTTTTATATGACGTCCTGTGTAAAATTTACACAGGAATACTGAAGTATAAAATTCACGTAATTTCCCAGTTTTCATGTTGCTAACGGGTTTCCTCTACATGCTCAAGTCGATCGTAATGATAATGATAGAGGACACCTCGAACTCAACTAAATTGACCGTATCGAATCTGCCTTTCCGCGTGGAATACGGCCACAAAGTAGACCAACATTTCTACCCGATATTGCTACACGGTTATTTAACGGTATTTTCTCACGTGACTGCCACAGTCTCAGCAGATACTTTGTACTTTACTTTGATCCAGCACGCCTGCGGAATGTTCTCAGTTGTCGGGTGAGAGAATGACGATTAAGAATGACATCTTGGAAACTCTCAAGTTATCCGGAAAGTTCGTACAGACATCTAGAAATGTACCTTTGAAAAACCAAAAAATTTCAAAAAAAGATGTTTTGATTTTCCTTCTTACATTAAAATAATTTATAAAAGAAAGAAAGAGAGGAAAATTCTGTGGCGAATTTTCTGACTATCTCATTAAAATAATAGGCGAATATGATAATTTTAGTGGTTTCTAGACATTCGCTGGAACATATTGGCAAAGATAACGACGGCAATTTTAATTTGAATCCCGAGAAAATGGAAGATGGCAATTACAAAAAAGCCTTGGGCTGTCTGCGCAGGCATCTCCATGTGATAGAGTGGGTGTTGTGTATTTGTGTGTGTGTGCGCGTGTGTGTGTGTGTGTGTGTGTGTGTGTGCGTGCGTGCGTGCATGCATGCGCGCGCGCGCGCACGATGTTTGTACGAGGGCGGTTCAATAAGTACCCGTGTTAGAAATGAAGACACTATTTTTTCAAAAAATTTTTTTTTATTTTTCAACATAGTCCCCTTTTAGAAAGATACACTTCTCCCAACGTTCCTGCCATTTTTTTAACCCCTTCAAAAAATAGGATTTGTCGAACTCTTTAAAATACGCCTCTGTCTCGGCGATGACTTTCTCGTTTGAGCTAAATTTTTTTCCCGCGAGCCATTTCTTTGTGTTAGGAAACAAGAAAAAGTCGCAGGGAGCCAGATCGGGTGAATACGGGGGGTGCGGCAGCATTTCATAACGCAATTCATGCATTTGCCGGCGACAACCCTGGATGAATGTGCTTTCCACCGTGAGCAATCGCGGCACCCATCTGGCCGACAATTTTTTCATCGCCAACTTATCATGTAAAATATTAATTGCCGTTCCGGTCGACACACCTACGGCCTTTGCTACTTCGCGCACTTTCGTTCGTCGATCAGCGAGAATCATGTCGTGGACTTTTTGAATAATTTCCTCAGTAATCACGTCTGCCGGGCGTCTTGGTCGCTCCTCATCAAAAACGGATGTTCGCCCACGTTTAAATTCGTTGAACCAATATCTAACTGTGGTCATAGATGGCGAAGTGTCCCCATAAACAGCATCCAACTTTGCTTTTATCTCCTCGCATTTTTTCCCATCCAAAATCAAAAAGCGAATTACCGAACGATACTGCTCTTTTTCCATCTTAGCGAAAATCACGAAACACGTCTTACTCGAATGGCTGCCAAATCCAAACTAACCTATCAATCAGTCTGCAATTTGTTTTGCCGTCGTTTGATAGATGACAGCACACGATGTTAACACCAACTTCCCTCAGGAATGCCCTCTGTCGTTTAACACGGGTACTTATTGAACCGCCCTCGTATATACATGTGTTAATGCCACATATTTTAAAAAATATACTCGGTTTTAAGATAGTTGTATCACAAAGTGCTATATTTTCAGTAGCGCTTTAAAGAGGCCACTCATAAATTTAGTATTTTTCGAGTAAAATTACGTTGCTATAAATTTATTTTAAAATCTAAATAATAAATGTTAATTTAAAATAAAGTTGAGGTAGACATGTACAGGGGCATGCGTGAGAAAGTGAGAGTGTACCCGAACTCGGGCTGTTCACGCTCACTCTCGCAATCTTGCGGACGCTTCTAAACAAACAATTCGTTGTATGTTGATGCGACACCGTGCAAACAATATTACAAATACGAATATATTATTTTTAATTTTTCTTATTAATGCTATTTTTATGCATTAGTTGATCTAATAGAGGAGCATAAATAATAGAAAGAGGTATATAATTGTTTAAATATATACATATATTTTGTGTATTACTATAAGTAATGACCTTTAGACTGCTATATTTTCAAAATGATCAATAATTCTAAAATTTTTGTGTAATGTTTCTATATTTATTCTTAATGTCATTAGAAATTAAAAATAGCAGTTAAAAATAGAACATTATAATCTCGAGGAATATATATAAAAAATGTTATCTTTAGTCGCAAATATTTCAGCTTTCGAATAGTTAATCTACCTCTAATTATGTCAACGATTAAGTCGTATTTAAATTTATATATAATATAAATTTCAACGAACTTTTAAAAAACTAATTTTGTGCTACAACACTACCTTTAAATGCTTCGAATATTTTTTTTTTCAAAGCAATTCAGAACGCAACCGATGGTTCAAAGAGAAAAATTTCTTCTCTATTAATCAAACAAGAATTCTTTCGTTGGACTATCGGCTACGTTCCAAACATCGAGAGAAAGGTGTTCCAACCAAATTAGAACCGAGTGTACGGTTTCGTTATAAATCTATGTATCTCAATATAACTCGTAACTGTGTTCAATTTCATAAATTCACAGATTTGCGGAACTAATCGAGTCAACATTCACAAATATCTTCCTGGTCAGTGTGAGCTTAAATATGATTGGTGGCAGTATATGCGGTATACAGGTACGTCTCAATTTCATGAACACCTCGTGTTCCCAATTGATAAACAGATCAGCTATTTCTAAGAATGTTCGGAAAAAAATGAACGCTCATTATTTCCGTAGAGAATTATTTGCAATTCAATATTTGATTCAATAAATGAGAGGAAAAATGTAAACACGCGTGTTTTAGGTGCTGATGAACTTAAACGACGCGAAAGATATCGTCGCACCATTTGCTATATATATCGCTCAACTCACCCATATGTTCTTGCAATTCTGGCAAGCCCAATTTTTGCTGGATTACAGTGTCCTTCCGTACGAGTCAATGTAAGGAATTTTTTTAAATTAATCCGAAAGCTTCGTCTATTATTCTTTCTCTCTCGCTTTCCTTCCCTTTCCAGCATAAACAAAATGTATAGTACCAGGTGTACCGGTATGAAGTGAGCGTCAAAATACAAATGTCTCG